TACTCTCCATCATCACTTAATTATCCATAAATATCCTAAGTATTAAATTCAATAGATTATTAAACTATAAAGTCACCATTTTCTTTCTTCCTGATTGTATTAATACAATTGCCATTCTTATTCACTAAGAGGCATTTAGCCTTTAAATAATATTATGGAAATAACCATTTATCAATAATTTACCCAGACTTTACAGCAATTTCCTTAGTCTTCTTATATTATTTAGTATTACTATCCATTTCAAACACATAAATATATTCTTTAAAATAAGGTTAGAATTTAAGTTAATTATCATTAATAAAACATAATCTAAATCCCACTTAATCTACTTTTATCTTTGATGTAACACTCCATTTTTTATTCAACATTTACTATTCTATTACTAATATATAAGAATTAGATGAACAAGATATCAATTTGTTTTATTGTTCATTTAAGCTTAATGAATAGACATCGTTAATATGGTCAGTTATGGTTTATTAACACAACCATTAATCCTATTTCATCCAAAATTTTATTTTTTTATCTCTGCTACCTGAGATTATTAGATCATCAATATTATTTAATTATAAACAATATATAGTATCAGAATGTCCATTCAATTTTAATTAACATTTAAATTAATTATTTCCAATCAACTACCATATTATAATTGAGCTATCTTCACTTCCAGATACAAAATTATTTGTATTTTTCATGAAATTTAAAGTACTTATAGTTTTTGTATGTTCACTTAACAATTATATTTAATTAGATTTCCCTTATATATGTTGAAATACTTTAATATTATTATTACATCCAGCTACCACGATTGATGAATCTTTGTTAAAAGCAATAGCATAACACCATTCATCTTACTTGATTGAATATTATTTCATGAGGACAAAGGTAATAGGTTTCAGATTTGGTGATTATATAAATATATGCTTAGGTTATTCTAAAATTGATTTATCTATATTAGATGTAGAATTTATAAATTATCATTTTATTTTACATTTGTTTGATTCTTTATTTTTTTAAGTATTTCATTAACAATGGATTTAGTTTATTAGATTGATTGATTAAGTTGTTTAAATAATTAATCTTCTCCATCTGCTATTTAAGATAAACCTTTTATTAATTAATCAATTTGTGATAATCCTAATTCTGTTAATGATTAAATATTAAAGTTATTATAAGGAAGGAACAAATTCATTAGACTATCAAGGGCAATTTTACATTCTTAAACATTCTTTTAAACATTTTAAACCATAAGAATTCTTTCCTTAATCCATCCAGATATCAATTCTTAAGATGTCAACTTATGAATATGTTGAACATGGCTAGGCAAGCAAAAATTACAATAAGGTCTTTAATTTGGACATGTACTATCTATACAAAAGCCTGTTATTTATTGATTTTAATGATCAGCTTAAATACATCTAATCTACATTTTCTATTTCTATTAAAATTAATATTTCAATATTTAATAATTATTTTTGTTTAAAAATATATTAAATCTACATATAAATTTATGTAATATAAATGTTTAAAATATCTAAAATAAAGTTAATTTATAAAGTAACAATAGATTTATTACAAATACTAAAAATTGTCAGTTTTAGGTTATAGAAATAGCATAGACTGATGAGACATCATATAACTAAGCCTTTGCTATTTTAAACATTATGCTTTTAGTAATCTTTCAAAAAAGAATTGATTTGCTGAATATCTATATTAATTGAATTTGCTATGAATTTTAGAATTATTATTGAAGTCCATATTATCCAAAAAAATAATTTTAATCACACCAACAATTTATAGTAAAAAGAGGTAAACGTGTTTAAATTCTGTAAAATTATTTATATATTTGCAAAAGTGAATTAAAAGTTAACCAAAAACACTAAAGTGTGAATTTCAAAATATATTATCTAATTATGATTTTTAATTTTCTTCTATAATTAATCATGCAAAATTCTTCTTCCACAATAATATTTGAGTTTCAATTTACTTTAGATCCCTATTTTAAAATAAACTCAATAAAATATGAAAATCTTTCATTAACTACTTCTAATGACCTAGACCAGTTAGTTAAACTTTTTGTAGGGAATACTTTAGATTATTTGAATATTCAAAAATTTTCTTACATCCATAAATTGGAATAGTTTAAAGATTAGTTGGACTAAGAGTTATAGACTTTGATAATAAAATTAAAGAAAAAATGAAGGAAATAATTTCAATAAATAAGTAAGTCTTAATTTTATTATAGAATCTCACAAAAAGAACAAAAAGTGTAAGTGTATGAGTAAAAAGAACAAATGTAGGAAGTTAAAGGTTGGTTTTGGAGAAGCAAAGGATTTAGATTTATCTAAACTGTTTACAACATTATATTAACTGAAGAAAACAAAATTAAGTACATAAAAGATGGTGCGATCTTAAGAATGTAATTTTTATATATGTTAAATCCTTATTAGTGAAGATATAAAAGACTCTTCTCTTAAACAATAAATTTTTTAAAATTTAGAATAAATTTAAAACCTCACATGGATTGGTGATTATGGGAATTATGGTTAAAAGATTGGTAGATGGTTACCTAATTGGAACGGCGAGGCTATTCTGGATGTAGGTGGACAGTACAATAATGATGGAAAAAAGGAAGGAATATGGAAAAATATAAAAAATAATTTTTGGAGGTAAGATTTTATTCATTATTTTAAAGCAAAGCTTAAGTCTATGAATCGGGTTAATATGTGAATGGTTAAAAGATAGGAATCTAAAAATTAATCTCTTAAAATTTAGAAATGTATAAATTAAAATTATTAAATAAATAGAGGAGGAGGTGAATATAACGAATAAGGTTATAAGAATGGAAATTGGATAGAGGTGAGCGATGAATACTTTAAATATTTTTAAGTTACTTATTCTGGTGAATATAAAAATAGTAAAAAAGTCAATAGATGGGATATTTGGTTAAAAGAAGTTGATCTTTATGGAAATCCTAAAGATAATATTAAGATGTAGAAATTTACATAACCGTAGCGGCGGCGGATCTTATGAGGAAGGAGAAGATGAAAAAAAGATTGGAAATTGGATTGATATATTTGATAATTGTAATGTGATTTCTTAAGTAACTTTTAATGGTGAATATAAAAATGGTTACAGAATAGGTAGATGGAATATTTGGTTTAAAGAAGTGGATAGGGAATTAAATACTGAATAGAATATTAAGATGTAAAAATTTAATAAAAAGAGCCTAATTTTTTATATTTATCAGTGGTGGTGGATTATATGAAGATGGATGTAATGGAAATAAAATTGGAACATGGATAGATATTAGTGAAAGTTTTAGTTTGATTTCTTAAGTGACATATAATGGCGAATATAAAAATAGTAAAAGAGTAGGCGGATGGGATATTTGGTATAAAGAGGTTACTCTGTGTGGAAATGTTGGGGAATCCTAATTGATGTAAATTTTTTGTAGAGTATTAGCGGTGGTGGATCATATGAAGAAGGATGTAACGGAAATAAAATTGGAAAATGGATAGATATTAGTGACAATTTTAATTNAAGTAAGTCTTAATTTTATTATAGAATCTCACAAAAAGAACAAAAAGTGTAAGTGTATGAGTAAAAAGAACAAATGTAGGAAGTTAAAGGTTGGTTTTGGAGAAGCAAAGGATTTAGATTTATCTAAACTGTTTACAACATTATATTAACTGAAGAAAACAAAATTAAGTACATAAAAGATGGTGCGATCTTAAGAATGTAATTTTTATATATGTTAAATCCTTATTAGTGAAGATATAAAAGACTCTTCTCTTAAACAATAAATTTTTTAAAATTTAGAATAAATTTAAAACCTCACATGGATTGGTGATTATGGGAATTATGGTTAAAAGATTGGTAGATGGTTACCTAATTGGAACGGCGAGGCTATTCTGGATGTAGGTGGACAGTACAATAATGATGGAAAAAAGGAAGGAATATGGAAAAATATAAAAAATAATTTTTGGAGGTAAGATTTTATTCATTATTTTAAAGCAAAGCTTAAGTCTATGAATCGGGTTAATATGTGAATGGTTAAAAGATAGGAATCTAAAAATTAATCTCTTAAAATTTAGAAATGTATAAATTAAAATTATTAAATAAATAGAGGAGGAGGTGAATATAACGAATAAGGTTATAAGAATGGAAATTGGATAGAGGTGAGCGATGAATACTTTAAATATTTTTAAGTTACTTATTCTGGTGAATATAAAAATAGTAAAAAAGTCAATAGATGGGATATTTGGTTAAAAGAAGTTGATCTTTATGGAAATCCTAAAGATAATATTAAGATGTAGAAATTTACATAACCGTAGCGGCGGCGGATCTTATGAGGAAGGAGAAGATGAAAAAAAGATTGGAAATTGGATTGATATATTTGATAATTGTAATGTGATTTCTTAAGTAACTTTTAATGGTGAATATAAAAATGGTTACAGAATAGGTAGATGGAATATTTGGTTTAAAGAAGTGGATAGGGAATTAAATACTGAATAGAATATTAAGATGTAAAAATTTAATAAAAAGAGCCTAATTTTTTATATTTATCAGTGGTGGTGGATTATATGAAGATGGATGTAATGGAAATAAAATTGGAACATGGATAGATATTAGTGAAAGTTTTAGTTTGATTTCTTAAGTGACATATAATGGCGAATATAAAAATAGTAAAAGAGTAGGCGGATGGGATATTTGGTATAAAGAGGTTACTCTGTGTGGAAATGTTGGGGAATCCTAATTGATGTAAATTTTTTGTAGAGTATTAGCGGTGGTGGATCATATGAAGAAGGATGTAACGGAAATAAAATTGGAAAATGGATAGATATTAGTGACAATTTTAATTTGATTTCTTAAGTGACATATAGTGGTGAATATAAATATGGGAAAAAAATAGGGAGATGGGATATATGGTTAAAAGCTGTTGATGGTTATCTAAATGCTAAAAAGAATTTTAAGATGTAAGAAATATTTTTTGAAGTCTATAATTTGTAAATGTATTAGTGGCGGCGGATTATACGACAAAGAAGGTGATGGTATGAAGATTGGAAAATGGATTGAATTGGATGATGGATTTGATAATGATAAATAAATAACTTATCATGGTGAATATAAAAATGGGAAAAAAGTTGGTGTATGGGATATTTTTCATAGAAGACATCAGAATTATCCATTTTCCTAAATGTAAAATATATTATATAAGATGTTAAATCATAAATCCCTTAGTGGTGGTGGATTATATAATAAAGGTGAGGATGGTATTAAGATTGGAAAATGGATTGAATTGGATGATGGATTTGATAATGATAAATAAGTAACTTATCATGGTGAATATAAAAATGGGGAAAAAATTGGCAGATGGGATACTTTTTATAGAAAATACAAGAGCGATCCATTCTTATATATGTAAAATATATTTTATCAAAAATCTATTAGAGGTGGTGGATTATATAAAGGTACATGCATTAAGATTGGAATGTGGATTGAATTGGATAACGAATTTAAGGTTTCAAAATTAGTTACTTATCATGGTGAATATGAAAATGGAAAAAAAATTGGTGTATGGGATACTTTTCATAAAAGAAGTGAGAATGATCCATTTTTATAAATGTACAAAAGCATAAATACAATATTTATTAGTGGAGGAGGATTATATGATAAAGGAGGTGATTGTATTAAGATTGGAAAATGGATTGAATTGGATGAGGGATTCGATAATGATAAATAAGTAACTTATCATGGAGAATATAAAAATTGTAAAAAAATTGATAGATGGGAAACTTTTGTTTAGGGTCAATTAATGTATTTAAATATTTTAAATTATATTTAGAAGTAGTTCAAATTATGATCTGAGTGGCACTGAAATTTATAAAAGTCAAGGGTATTTCTATAATATCTTAATTTTAGGGACATACTAAATCTTGGTGTATTTGTTAACTGTAAAAAAGTTGGGAAATGGGATATTTTATTTTAGAATGATAATGTATACTTTGAATGGATGTAAAAAACCTTATATAAAGAGTTTAATAATGTAAATTTATCAGTGGGGGTGGATCTTATGACGAAGAAGGTGGTGAAATTAAGATAGGGAAGTGGATCGAACTATAGGAAGGGTTTTCTAAGGATTCTTAAATATTATATTAAGGTGAATATTAAAATGGTAAAAAACTTGGTCGATGGGATATTATGTATAGGCATAACACCAGCAATCCATTTTCATAAATGTAAAAAATATTATAGAAAGTGCATAATTAAAATTTTAATGGGTTAGTGGTGGTGGATCATATGAATTAGAATAAAATGCAATTAAGATTGGGAAGTGGATTGATTTGGATGAGGAATTTGATTATTGGAATTAGGTAATTTATATAGGGGAATATAATAATGGTATCAAAGTTGGTACATGGATAGAAATGAAAAGAGATAGTAATACTATGGAAAAAGGATTTTATAAAGTAAAAGAGATTGACTATAATAATTGAAATGATATTTAACTTAAAAAAATAATTTTATTTGAATATTTGACACTATTTAATTTTTATTATTCGTATCTTTGTGTAAATTTTTTTTTTTAGCTCTCTTTTTATTGTTATGTAATTTTCTTTTGTATTTAATTTTTCATATTAATATACTCATCCGTGATTAAGAAATTAAAAAACTTCCAAATCTTTTTACATGTATTATTTTTCTAATAAAAAATTAAAATTTATGAGAAAATAAAATTCCTTATCTAAATATAAAAAGATTATTAATCGAAATTTTTTTTCTTTTTAAGCTCTTTTAAATCAACAGTCTCATTATTCTTCTAGAATTTTTATTTTTTGTTTTTAATTATCTTGAATAATATAAAAATGAATAAATAATTAATAATTTTAATGATATTTTTCATTCCTAATGATATTTTCTTATTTAAATTTCTTATGATTTTCTATCCCAAGTCATCAAATACTCTCCATCTTCACTCATCTATCCAAATATATATTCATGTCCAAATTGAATCGATTGTTGTGTAATAAAATCACTATTTAAGTTCTTTCTTATTAAATTAACATTATATCCATTCTTATTCACAAGCAGACATTTCTTCTTTATATATTATTAAGGAAAGTGATAATGACAACCATTATAACCACTTTAAACAGCAATTTCTTTTTTCTTTGAGTATTATTTATTAGTACCATTCATCTCATAAACATACATCTACTCTTTACCCTCAGGTTAAAATGTGAATTCATTATCATTGATAAAATATAATCGATAACCATAAACTTCAACTGATATCTTTTATATTACATTCCATTTTTAATCTAATGCTGCCCGTTCTATTATTAATATTAATTTATCCTTTCCACAAGATATCACTCTATTCTATTAATCATTCAAACTTAATCCACATACATCATTTGTATGATCTGTAATAGTTTATGAACATACCCATTGCTACTATTTTTACCAAAATTTAATAGTCTTATCATCACTTCCAGATATGATAACATCTTCATTATTGTTCATTACTAAACTATTAATATATGTAGTATGTTCATTTAATTTCTATGAGCATATCCATTAACTATTTGGATTCATAGACCATATTATAATCTATCCACCACCACTAGATATAAATTGACTCTATTTCTTCATGAAATTTAAAGTTCTAACATTACTTGAATGTTCACTTAGAAGTTGAGTTTGTTTTAACTATTCTTATTTGAACTCAAATACTTTGATTTACTTATCACATGTAGCTAATACCATTGAATTATCTTTATTAATGGCTATTGCCAAACACAATTCACCCTATTTAATTGAATTATCCTATAATAAATTATAAGTAAATGGCTTGCTATTTAATTAATAATCGTTATTTATGATTATGTTTTGTTATTTTTACTATTCTTATATTTATAATAGAGTAACTTATTAGTTATATTTAATTTATTTTTGAATATATAAATTAATTATAGGTTTAACTTCTTGAATTACTTAATTTGCTATTGTATGTATGGATGGTAAAGATAATTAAGGTAATGGTGGAATAATCTTAAGAGTATTTTAAGGAATAGGTGCTTAAGGAACTAAAGGAAGTTAATCAAGAAAAGCATCAATTCTATTGAAAGAAGACTTATGATAACTTATATTTCAATAACTTACATCTAAATATTATTAAAACCCTTAAAGACATTCATCAACTTTATTTTGTAATTCTGCAGCAATTGATTCTCTATTCATTTTTATTATTATTAACATATTTTACTTAACTTTCTCTATTTCTATTCAAAATTATTCATAAATAAAATATATTCATAATTTTATTGCATAATTATTTATAAATAAATAAATTAGAAATTAATGAATTCTATCTAATTTTTAAGAGAGTTTCTTAATTAATAATAAAAAGGTTGGAAAAAGTTTTTTATTTAGAGTAAGGACAAAAATTATGTTAATATCTTTTCACATTAAAATGCATACAGCACAAGAGTAGTTCTATAAAACAATCACTTATATGATTTAATTTTATTAAAAAGAATCTTTAATACAGATAAACCTTTATATTTTCCAAGCCAAATAGTGTAAATGGAGATTAATCTATTTTAAATCATTCTTGTAAGAGACTATAATTAGTAATCAAAGAAAATACTTTAATTTGATTAATTTCAATATATAATTTAAATCCTTGATATTAAGATGCATAAATGAAAATACAGAAAGTTTATTCAATAAAATTTCAAAGAAAAATAACGCAAATTACATTTAGAATACTATATTGAACTCAAAACTATTTATTTTGAAAGTTGTAATATGGGAGTATAAAAATTTGATTTTATTTTGAATTATTGTTCAATTCATAAAGCTCAAAAAAACAATTACATTTTATATTATAATACTCACTTACTCTATCGCACTATTGCTCTAAGTTTGAGTTTTGAATAACAAAAATTTATATTGAATAGATACCCTTGAATTGATGAATAATTAATTCAATAACTTTGATGAATTAATAATTTTCTTTGAAGAATTTGATTTAATTTGGATGATAATCTCTCTATAATATTTAAACCTTAAACCTCATATATCAATTTTTAATTGTTGTTTTAAGCAATCTCAAATTATAAATAGAAGTGAAAAAATAAAATTCACTTTTTTTTATTATAATAAAAATAACCAAAATTAAGTCAGAATGCAATTGCACTCTTTCTGTGATTTAAGGAGAAAAGATCTATTCATATCGGAACTCAATCCAGTTAGCATCTAAGTCACATTAAAGAAAAAATTAATATAAAATTCCAAAAAATTGTGTGCTCCTTCATGAAATGATATCAAATAAATATTTTGTTCCAATTTTGGAATGATGAATTCGATGAATTTTTGCAATTCAAATTTTTCATCAATTTTTGATTTATGGACTATCTCATTCCTATCATGTTTTATAAGGTAAATCGACTTCGTAAAATGAAACCTATTAGACAGGGTATGATCCCATTCTCAGCTCATCTTAACCTCCCTCATATCTATTATCCAGGCTGGGTGATTTGGCTGTACTCGTACCAACCACAAAAAAGGAATAATCATATGGATCTTAAGGTTATTATTTTATCCATATTCCTAAGCTATGAAGCAAAATTATTTCTATAATATATGATCTTATAAATAATGATAATATCATATTTTTCTTAAATTTTATATCGAATAAAAAATTTAATCATTTTTAGGAATATTAAAAATATATAATTTTTTTTATTTTCTTAGATTTCTTAATACTATTTATTTTTAATTGATAAGGTATATTAAAATCAAATTCAGAAATTTAGATTGATGGATCACCTTTCAAATCATCTTATTCAATATTTATTTTAAAGTTTAGTTCTAATTATTAAGAAACAAAACAATCTGAAATCTTATTATTCTTCACAAATTAAATTAAAATTGAGAATTTCTTATGCATTAAGTTTTGAAAAACTCTTCAATATGTTTTCATAAATTTATATCTAAAAATAGGACATTAATCAAATATTCTTTAATATTAGTATTAAATATCTCTAAAATTTACAAAGAATTTCAGAAACTCAATAATTTCATCCTAAATTTTTGAGCTTTTAATAAATTGATTCTTCAATCTATCTATCTCTTCTAAATGAATCTTTAAACCCAACTTAAGGCCAAATATAATTTACAATATAAATTTGAAATATTTAAAAGATTAATCCACATGAATGATCGACAATTTTTATTTATTAGTAAATAACTACCCTTACTTATCTTCGAAGATAGTATTGGCCTCTTCTTCATAGTATTCAAATATATTAACTTTGAAATATTCTTTATTTTCCAAATGGTTTGCAATTTTATTTTTATAAAATGAAAATTTGTTTCGTAACTATATATAATCACTTTTTATTTAATTTAAATAGATTGCTAATAATTCTTAAAAATTCTTAATATTTATATTTTGCAATCTTAACTTCATTAGATCTGAACATTTATTTTGTTTATACTAACATCTGTTTAATTTTCTCAAAATATAATCAATCCAAGATAATTAAATCTATATTACTTAAGTTTCCATTAGACTTCACAACACAATAAGATAACTGACTTTCTTATCCAAATATTTTAGTAACTTATCTTTGAAATTTAGCTGAATAATTTTCTTTATCATTCATATATAATAACATTTAATTGATAAATTATATTTTGTATATTAATAAAATATATTAAACATAATCAGTTATTACCTTTAGGTTGGGTAGCCATTATAATAAATAATTAATATTAATAATATTTCATTCATCTTTAAATATTTCAATTATAACAAACATAAATATACTTAAAACTAGATGATATAAAAAATTTGTTCGCTTATAGCTATGATATAATGAAATGTGATATTAATCAATATAATTACAACAAATCAAATATTATTTTTTATTATTATGATTTAATTGTATAATTTAATCATTACATAATAAATAATTGATCGAGTCTCCATTTTTATGGTTACAGGAAAAAGCAGAAAGAAAAAATCAAAAACAAGGTATAAATTAAATTAATGTTTAGAGTACCTTCTAAATTATCTTACATCCTAGGTAAAATATATGATTTATCCAAATTTCTTTCACTCCATCCAGGAGGAGATTACTTTTTATCATTGGCATAAAATTAGAGATACAGAAAATGTACTATAGCAATCATTTAAACATGGAGAAATGCTATGCAATTTTTTAAAACTTTAATTTTCGAGATAAAATTGATAAACTGAAAACAATAACTTTTGTTAAAAAGTAAATCTAAGACCTAATTTCAATCCTTGATCTAGGATTTTTTGGATAACTTAATATTGCTTAGTTCTAAGGTGGGTTACAGGGAGTAAACAAGTGTAAGCAAAAAGTTGCAACTCTATCCAAACTCTTAAATTTTGAGCCAAATTACACCAAATTCACTTAAGTATTTCAATTTAGATCTATATGGTAATGGTTTTATAAATTATTGTGAATAAGAGTATAAAGAAATTAATTATGTTTTTTGACCAGAATTTATAAGAATAGAAAAGGACTCCTAAGTTAAAGATTATAGCTATAGTTTTATAACCACTGTGTAAATAACTAATTGATCTAATTATAAACATAGATTTGATAAAAAAATAGGTAGTCTAAAACTATAATAGTTATAATAATTAGTTGCTACTTATAAGACATCAACAGAATTTTATTAAGTAATATTTCTACCTTATATATTAAATTTTATTTACTCATAATAATTATTAAATGATTATACATATAAAAATATTTACTCTGTTAATTGTCTTCTTTCAAAATGTTATGGCAAATTGGAGACTAGTTGATTACAGTTTTTCAGAAAAACAAATTTCTCATAATAATTGGGAAATGAAAAAGTGTTGTTCTAGTAGCTCTTCAAATATAATTTTTGACAAAAATAGTTGCTCTTCAAATTAATTAGAATATGTGAGATTGTCAAAGTTTAAAAGATATTTGTAGAAATCTTTTGCATATAAAAGCTTTTAAGTATAAATAATTTTTGATGCTTTCTTTGATGGTGCAATAAGTGAAAATTCTGAGATTGCAGTTATGTATGATAGTAACAGAAGTTCAGACAATGATAGGCAACTATTTCTTTTAGATTATGATGAAAATGACTTATACTAAGATAGTCGTCTAATTTGTCATAATAGCCTAGGAAGATTTAAATTAGAAACTATTGTAAGTAATTAAGTCGATTCATACTCGAATAACTTTTCAATAAAAATTTGTTTTGATCCATATGATCATAGATGTGATGATGATTGTGATAGGGATCATCATTATAGTGATAGTTATTGTGATAATGATTATATATAAATTGGAATTAGAAATATGTTAGTTTATGTTAATACTTGTCANCAATCCTTGATCTAGGATTTTTTGGATAACTTAATATTGCTTAGTTCTAAGGTGGGTTACAGGGAGTAAACAAGTGTAAGCAAAAAGTTGCAACTCTATCCAAACTCTTAAATTTTGAGCCAAATTACACCAAATTCACTTAAGTATTTCAATTTAGATCTATATGGTAATGGTTTTATAAATTATTGTGAATAAGAGTATAAAGAAATTAATTATGTTTTTTGACCAGAATTTATAAGAATAGAAAAGGACTCCTAAGTTAAAGATTATAGCTATAGTTTTATAACCACTGTGTAAATAACTAATTGATCTAATTATAAACATAGATTTGATAAAAAAATAGGTAGTCTAAAACTATAATAGTTATAATAATTAGTTGCTACTTATAAGACATCAACAGAATTTTATTAAGTAATATTTCTACCTTATATATTAAATTTTATTTACTCATAATAATTATTAAATGATTATACATATAAAAATATTTACTCTGTTAATTGTCTTCTTTCAAAATGTTATGGCAAATTGGAGACTAGTTGATTACAGTTTTTCAGAAAAACAAATTTCTCATAATAATTGGGAAATGAAAAAGTGTTGTTCTAGTAGCTCTTCAAATATAATTTTTGACAAAAATAGTTGCTCTTCAAATTAATTAGAATATGTGAGATTGTCAAAGTTTAAAAGATATTTGTAGAAATCTTTTGCATATAAAAGCTTTTAAGTATAAATAATTTTTGATGCTTTCTTTGATGGTGCAATAAGTGAGAATTCCGAGATAAAAGTTACTTATGGTAGTAATAGAAGTTCAGATAATGATAGGCAACTGTTTCTATTCGATTATGATCAAAATGACTTAAACTAAAATAGTCGTCTAATTTGTCATTCTAGCATAGAAAGATTTAAATTAGAAACAATTGTAAGTAATTATGTAGATTCAAACTCGAATAACTTTTCAATCAAAATTTGTTTTGATCCGTATGATCATAGATATGATGATGAGTGTGATAATGATCATACATTTAGTGATAATTATTGTGATGATGATTATATATAAATTGGAATAAGAAATGTGTTAGTTTATGTTAATACTTGTCATCCAACTTGTTTAACATGTGACGGTCCTACTGAATCAGATTGCTTGACATGTTTTGATAATAAAGCAGTATAAGTTGGAGAGTGTGAATGTATTCCAGAATAATAATTTTCTGAAACTTATATAGGTTGTATATAAGAATGTAGTAGAGATTATTCAATAGCTCGTTTTGATAAAATTTGTGTAAAAGATACTCGAATAAAATCAAAGTTTACTTTATTTTAAGATAATGTTATTCCCTAATCAGATTATAGATATTCTCCTTTAATCTTTGAAAAAGATGAATTTTATCCAAAAAACAAAGATTTAATTTAAGATAATTGTAATGGACTCAGTTTTGTAGGAAAATTGTAATTTAGTGAAGGAATGATATATTAAATGAATCTTGAGAATGCTGTAAAGTTTCTTAGAATTCGTATAACATTTTATTTGTTTAATTTTGAAGAAACAAGCAGCATTCAAATTATTCACAACAATTAATTACAATCTAGAATAATAAAAGATTCATCTGGTTTCTAAGTAGAAAATTTATTTAAAATATTTGAAAAGAATTAAAATTGTGGTAGTAATTATACTGTGTTGAGAATAGAGATAACTTTTTAACTATTTAATACTAATCCAACTCTTTTTATTTAAGGATAACTTCAATAAGAAAGTGAATCTTGGGGATTTAGAAATATAACTGTTGATACAGGATTTTGTTAAGAAAATTGTTTAGTATGTTCTGATTTCTCTACCTGTGAATAGTGTGATTCAACAAATAAATTATATAAAAATAAATGTATTCAATCTTGTCCTATACATTCGTCAAATTGTATTGACTATGAGGATATCATTCCATGTAAATTATTATTGGTTTATTTTTAGATTCTAGATACTTTGCAAGAGGATTTTATGATTTAAATATGACTATAGATGAAATAGATGAATTTTATGATTCTACAACAGATCCATCTCATAGTTTATCAACCAGATAAAAATTTTCATTTTTAAATAATAAAATAGTTATGGGTGGTTTATTAGTTTGGAATGATGGTTCATATATTAAAACATGGGTTATTCAAAAACCTCATTATGCAGCAACTATATATTTTAATTTAACTTATGGAGATGGTTACACAGGATCATTTTATTATAAGATAGGTGCTTCTTAAAGCATAGGATGGTAAGGACCTTTTTATAATCCTGGGGGAGGAACAAATTTAGTGGGTCGAACTGGTCTTGAAAGTACTCGTTATTTTAATGTAAGTTTAACAAACTTTTATACTAACAATCTTTATGTTGAATTTAAATGTGATGTTATTACTGCAAATATAACAAAGGAATTCTGTGCAATATCTGAATACTTCATTGTTATTCATTATGTATAATATGTATTATTATAATTTAGTGTCCTCCTCTTTGCTCTAGTTGTACAAGTTTAACTTCATGTTCAGATCCAGGATATACTGGTCCTAATTGTGGGAGTAGTTAATATTTAGATTTTGATTAATAAACTGAAACTTATAGTTGCAAAAATTGTAATTAACCTGGATGCAATACATGTACAAGAGCAGAATAATGCACTTAATGTGTTAATAATTAATTTAATTTGAGTAATGGAGTTTGTTTGTGCAATCCATTTACATTTTTATAAGGAAATACTTGTGTTTAATGTAATAAATTTTGTGAAAATTGTTATGGTGACTCTTAATATAATTGTCTTACTTGTGTAAAAGATCATCATAGAAGTATTCAAAAAAATTAATGCATATGTTTAATTGGGTATTATGATGACGGAAATACTTTACCATGTTTTCCTATTTGTGGAGATTAAATAATAGTAGGTGAAGAAGAATGTGATGATGGTAATAACAAAGATGATGATGGCTGTGTTGATTGTCAAATAAAATGTTAAGTCTAATGTACATTATGTGAAAAAGATATATGCAAAGAATGTAATGTTGAAGGTTGGTAACTAAATAATTAAAAATGCATACCAATATGTGGAGATTAATTAATTTTGGGCCTGGAGGAATGTGATGATGGAAATTTGATTCCGTATGATGGATGCTATGAGTGTAAATTTTCATGTCCAGAATAATGTGCTTAGTGTGAATATGGAATTTGTAAAGCTTGCATTAAACCAGGATGGGTCCTTAATGAATATAACATTTGCACTACTTAATGCGGAGATGGTATTGTTGTTGATCCCTATGAGTAATGTGATGATGGTAATGATTATCCCTATGATGGTTGTTATTGGTGTGAATTTTAATGCTCAGAAGGCTGTATTGAATGTTAGCAATAATAATGCAAACAATGTGATTATTTATACAAATTGGATACTCAAACAGCTAAATGTTTAAAGGAATATTAATATGATAATGATGATAACAATTTAGATATTGAGATATCAAAATTATAATTGATTGAGTAGATAAATTTTAGATGTGGAGAAAATCAAAATTTAATTGATAATTTATGTGTAAGTTAATGTGGAAATGGAATATTAGTCAATCAATATGAAGAATGCGATGATGGTAATAATTATGGAGGAGATGGATGCTCTGCTTATTGTCAAATTGAGGATTCATATTAATGTATAAATTAGGATGGTTCATTAAGTTTATGTACATATATTATAGCTCCTGAATTTAATTTGAATATTCTATCTGATAATTCTTAATAAATAAAAACCGTAGAGTTAACTTTCACTTAATAAGTTAAATTAGAGGAATCTTTAAATTTTGATGAAATTATAGTATTTTCTATCTTTCCATAAACTCGATATCAATTAACAATCAGTTGTATATAAAATTTAACAATTACCCTAAACGATCCAAAATATGAGATATAAATTGAATTTATTGAACATGTAGAAAACCCTATTTTACAAGTTGACATATAGAAAAATACTATATTCAATACATATGATTTACGCTTATTGAAAAATAATAAAACTATTATTCTTGGCACTCCATTTGTCCTCTCATAAACAACTAAATAATAATTAATATCTATAGTATAATTAAATGATGTTATGATGTATTCAATGGCTGCAGTATCAAGTTTGGCTTTTTTAACTGGAAATGCAATTATGTTTTTTAATTTATTAGATTTATTATAATCATTATCTTATGTGAGATATATGTAATGTTAATTTCCACCACATTTGAATGATTTCTTAAATACTTACACTAAAGTCTCATTGCAACCTATTTTTGATTATTTAGAGGTTGATTAATTAATTGGAATAAGTAGATCAAATCACACAATCAATAAATAACATAAAGACCCAAAATATATTTTACAATAACCTTATTTGTTCAATATTAAAAGTTGCTATTTTTCTGTATTTGCATCCATTATAACTTACATAATATATCACTTAATATCATCTAAAAGCTTATAACAATTAGTTTTCAAAAGCTACTTAAAATATAGGTATAATTATAAAATTGTTAAATTTATAAATATATTTTACTCAAAGGTACAGAAAAAGTGTTTAAAATAATAGATAGAATATTTCTCTCTTGGAATATTTAAGGTCTATTTAGCTATACTTCATTAATTTATGTTCAGTGCACTTTTAGCATTTCCTTATTACAAATTTGACTCTCTTTTTTCAATATTCAATAGTATTAATGCTATTTTTGGATTGATATTTATTGTAATATCTACTTTAAATTTACTTTCAATTACATCAGCTACAATAAAAAATAAAACAAAATGGAAGTATTTTTTTTAAGAAGCAAAAACTTAATTTTGGGCTATTTAAATTAAATCTTTTTCAATTTATAGAATCTTGTTTTATATATTAATTATTGTAAAATTAATAGACTATCCAGAAGCCTAGTCAGTCTTGCTTTCTATTCAATCATTATTATACTTAGTTTACTTGATTAAATTTAAACCTTTAGAATCTTATTTTGAACTCGTCAAGTTAATATGTAGAGAATTTTTATTGATGAACATTTCAGGAACATTCCTTGTATATAGTTTTGAATTTAGTTAAGAAAATTTTATCCTATTTGGATGGATTCATATAAGCATGTTTTGTACTATTTTGGCTTCTAATTTGTTTATAGACTTATTTTCATAAATCAAAATAACTTATGATCTTTATTTATAAAAGAAAATTAAAGAAAAAATCGAATAGGAAAGAAAATATTATTTTAATCATTTGTAAGGATTTTAAATAAATAAAAATGATTATTAATAAAGAAAATGATTAATTATAGGTTTACATATTTAATGTCAATAAAATATTCAATACATTATTTAATATTTCCTTATAATAATTAAAGTAAGATCTCTATATCTCAAATTATCTTAAATTCGTTTTGTATTTTTCTTCAGCTTTTGGCTCCCTTTTTTAAAGAAATTTTTTCTAGTTGATAATCAATATTACTGTACTTAAAAATCTTTAAAACCAAATGAATTGGTAAATCATTTCATGAAGTTAATAATTTAAATTTTCAAAACAGAATAACTTGGTATGCATTCAGTTGTAAGAGATCCTAATCCTCTGACTTTTTGAACTCGAAAATGGATAGAAAAAGAAGCAAGCATCTCTCTTACACAAGACCCCGCTATTCAAAGCATGCCTTATTGATTTCAACTGAAATAAGAAAAATCTCATCCTACCATAATATAGAAAACTAAAATTATGGGTAAAAGCTGCCTGTAAAAGAAAAAAAAACTCTACTTTTCGAGTATGGTTGGCATTCTAAGTGAAAAAGCTGAGTTGCAAAATTGTGATTTTCGAGGTTTTTAATATAATGTATACGCTTCAAAACATCAGTTGACATTTATATCAATTATTTCAGCGTTTGATTATTTAGGAAATTAATATGAAATTTTGAAAAATACATCAGTAATTGTAGATGTAGATAATATAATTATCATCATAAACAATGTGTTACTAAAAAATTATCATTTATGTAAAATCAAATTGGCTTCTTTAAAATAATTGAAAATTTTATTAGTAGGCTAAAAAATTTCAATATTATCTATTGATCTAATGTTTTTATTATAACTATAAATTCTCATTTCTATAGGGAAATCTTCCCTGCTTCCATTATGACCTCATATTTCTGAAACAATTTTAATGTTCTTAATAATAAATGATTAGATAATTTAATACTTGATGTACTTGCTTGCTCGCCTGAGAGTACTGGAGACTTTTATCTAGATGGTAGGAGTCAACCTAATCAGGATCATGAAATTATTCCAATAAATTTGAATAATTGAAAAAAAATGGATAGTTTTTCTCAGATTTTAAGCTCTTATCACTCACCCTTTAACTTTTGGGCTGAGCAGTATCTTTCAATTTTTGAATCTCTAGCCACCTTTTTAATATTGTTATTATGAAATATACTCTCACTCAGAGAATTATCGTCCAGAGAAAAATTTGAAGATATTAAAAAAAAATTTTTAATCTTTCCTTGAAGATACAGAATTTTATACTAGGAAGGCTTATAGTATAATGATTGTCCAATTTGTTTCAATTTAATGGTAATCAGGTGAATTAATAATTTTTTATTGTTAGTTTGATTCTCAAAATTAAGAGCAATTATTTTTTTATTTCAATTTTGTGTATTAGAAATAATGCAAATTAGCCAATTTTATTTTTGATTTAGTTTTTTCCTGTATTTAATTGCCAGAATTTTGAATGGAAGAAGGTCTATAAGAATTTTTTAATTTAGATTTTTAAGATGAATTGTTAGAAGTAATATGATAAGAATTTTTTAGAATTTTCTAAATAAATTTTGATATTGAGAATATTCTAATAATTTATGAAGAAGATCCCTGTTAAATGTAGTAAGCTCTGAATAAAAAATGAATATTATTATACCATAATAAATAAGTAAGAAAATTTCTCAAGGATGTTTTTTGGGAAACAATTAAAAATTTTACTTTGCCTATATAAATAATTATTAGATTTATATAGAGTAAAAATAAATCAGAAGAATTACATAAAAAAGGTAATAAATCTATTAAATTAGGTTATAAACTATATTGGAATGATAAAAATTTAAAGAGGCAATTAAAATATTTGATTAATCATTAATTTTTAATCCAAAACATTCTCTTTCATTAAATTGTAAAGGTATGATTATTATTTAATATGTTAGCGGACTGTTTAAACATGCTTGGTTAATACAATAAAGCAATCATTTGGGCAGATAAAGCATTGTAAGTAGATCCAAAACATTGTAGTTCCTTATGTACCAAAAGTACTAATTATTTTTAATATAAAGGTAATTCATTAAGATTATTGAAAATGTTTAAATAATCTATGGTAGTGATTGAGTAATCTCTATAAATTAATCCAAATCACTTTGATTCATTGAGGGCAAAAGGTGAAAGCATCTTTTTAATTAATAGGTACATGCTTAAAAGTAAAGAATAACTTTTATTTTGCAATTTTTACTTTAATATTAAAATTATAGAAATAAAGTCAAGAAATATATAGAAACTAGAACAAGGTCTTGGCTATTTATTAATGATCTTTATACTTAAAATAACTTATCTGGTATTTAACTATGAAAAAAAACTGTTGATTATGCAGAATAAATTAAGATTATGATAAATCTTAAAATTTATTAATTTTGAAAAAGATTTTATCTTGTTAAACTTCATCAATTAACTTAGGGCAGGACTTTTTTATAGAAATAAGCATTCTGGATTTAACTATTGCCCATTAAGCCTGTGATCTTAGACCAAAAAAGTAAAGTTAATAAAATATATAGCAGAGATATATGTAAAATATTACAAGAGTATTTTAGAAATGGCAATTTTATTTAAGACAGATAAAAGTGTAATTATTAAGTAGGAGTTATATTTTTTAGTATTTTAAAATTATTGTTTTGACCTTTTATATGATATGAAAGCAATTTAAATTGAATGATAAAAATGAGATTCTTATTTTCATCTCATTTTGTAGGCTTTCAATATCCAAGATTATCAAGACATATTTAAGAGACAACTGAAAGCATCCAAATTGCTCTTATAATTTGAAAAATGGTTTTCCATATGTTGCTTGAAATAATTTTTTTATGTAATAGTATCAGATTTCTTGGAATAGCAATTAATTAATCTACTCTTTTTCTCCCAATCTAATTTTTAGAAAATTCCAGAGCGCATTTTAGATTTTCTAAATGAATTCTAAATAAGTAGGTATCTTATTACCAACTAAGCTCAAATTATATATTTTCATCTCAACTAATTGTATCTATTTTGCATATTTTTAAAAAATAGCATTAAGTTTGTTCAGAATTTGAGCAAATATTTAAATTAATATTGATTAATTGGTCTTATATATAAACTCAAAAATGGCATCAATATATTTAATTTTTTAGGCTAATTTATTCAAATTTCAATAATAATCCTTCCACCATCATTGGACAAAAAATTTTGGATAAATGTTATTGATTTAGATAAGCAAACAAATTCTTAGGTGTTAGTTATAGGTGATAAACCTTTTTTGTTTCTTTTTTCAAAGAAAATCTCTTTTCAAGAAGTACCTCATTCAAATGCTTTTCTTTATTATTTAAAGTGATAATTGACAATTATTCAATAGATTGACCGTAAAGCAAAGAGATTATGGGTTCTTTTGTAAATTATTAAAGGCTTACTAAATCAATAAGATCTAAAATTTTTTCCTAAAAAAATATAAATTTTGAAGTAAAATAGTATTATTTTAATGAAAAAATTTAAGGTTTAAGCGTTTTATTATTTAAAATATCTTTATTAATCATTATCAAATTTATTTTTGACAATTGTGGGAGACAATATAATTTGATTCAATGAACTAAAGAATATTTAAATATTAATTTATAATAACCAAATCATTATTTACAAATTCAAGTTATTCAATTAAATAATATCCTAATAAAATTTTTTTAGGTTTTTCTCAAGCCAAAAAACTAAAATTTCAGGAGTCCAAAAATGTGTTTTTATAAATTATTAATACAAATGAGCATTATTCTATTTTTTTTAGGAATACAAATAAAATGAAAATTTTTCAGAAGAAGAATTGCTAATTAAAAGAATGGTCTAGAGCTGGTTTGAAGTGTACGCCATGAACCTCAAGAATAACCCGACAATACCATACTAGAATCAGTGTAAAATAGACAAAATATATGGGTGTTATAGGCTCCATTAATAAATAATCTAAAGGTGGATTTTACTAAATTGGATGAGTTAAAATAGTTTAAATTATTTAAAAATAAAGATTTTCATATAATAATTAGTCAAGAATAAGCTATCCATCACTATGAACCCTCAATATTTAGATTTTCATATATAGTAATATTTAATTAGTGGTATATGAATTTTAAAAATTCCCAATCTAAATGTTTAATGAGGGTAAATATTTTCTGTTTAAGAGATTAAAAATAAGTCTTATTTTAAATTATTTAATTTTTTGGGGATGAATTGATTGATAATTGTAGACTTAGGATTAATTGTAAGAGTATCTAAAGACAATATACAAAAAACTGGAGCGATAATAATCTGTTGAAGGTGAGTTGAATTTATTTAAATTAAACTAGCAAGTAACTAGGAAAGATTCTTAAATTGACGAAATTAGATTGGGGATGAAATTACTACCAAAAATAAGATAAGATTCTAAACTTTATTAAGAAAATTTGAAATAGCATCAAGAT